AGACAAGCTATGGTTTAGGAAAGCTTGAGTAATTTCTTCTTTCCAGATTCTGAAGGGAAGACGTCATTCAGCACCTTGGAGTTCTATCTAGATCAATGTTTTCTAATGGCTATCTACACCAACTCCCTCAATATATATCAATGCAGGATTAAAGCAGTTGTTTTTAAGAGTTAAGCACCCATTTCCTTGCGAATTTGGGTGCAGTTCTTTTCTAAAACGTCCAATTTTGATGAGTAACGGGATGGACTGAACTTTAAGGGTGAACGTATTTGAAAGTGAGACAGAAAGAACAGCGATCATGTTGACTCCACCACCAGCCAAGAATACTCAATCAAACAGTCCGATTCACCCATGTCAATTACAATAAATAGATTGCTACTTTAAACATTTAAAAGCATTTAGACTTCCCTGTTGGCAGTTAAGTTTCCCAGTGCAGTTTAGGGACAGATAAAAAGACACAGTTCCTGCCTTCAGCTCACCAGGAGTTGTGTGGGTGTGTGTGTTGTGTTAAAAAGGTCAAGATGGCAGCCACAATTGCACAATCAATGCCCTACCTCTTCTTTATGTGCATTCCATGTGTGACCCATGTAAAGGGGGTGGGGCTTCCATCACATGGTCACAGCTGCTATTTTAAGTTTTTTGATCTGCTCTCCCACCACCCATGGATGCCCCTGAGACTTACAATTCAAAACAAAATGATCCCCAAAGAAAAAACCACGGGGAGGGCAAAGGAAAAATATGACACTTGATCTTAGAACAATGAGATGTTGTGTGGGTCTTCTGCCCTAAGGCAGCGGGACAGTTGCTGAAATTTAATCTGTGTTGCCAGAACTCCAGGCCACACAATCAATGCAAACACATTGATTTCAGCTTCCAGGAAGTTGGGCAGAGAGCATTTTCGCAATGCAGATTTTTGGGGTTGGCCAGACATTGCTGTATCAACCCAGCCTTCATTTAGTGGTGTGAGGCAATTGTGGAACAACCCTATAAACTGCCAGTGCAGAAATCCTCTGGGGTTGATCAAGCACTACAACTGAGGACAAGCAAAACCCTCTTCTCGACCGATTTTTCAGCCGATACTCAAATATTCTGCAAGCGCTCTGTTTGAAACAGGACGGTACGGATTGTTACGTGTTGGTATCATTCCTGTGATTATTATGCGATATAAAATATATCAGTTACAAATATTCTGAAGATGCATCGCTGTTAGCTTGGATCCATCCAACGGCAGCATCGTTCTGCCACCCATGGGAACTGCTGAACTCATATTGAAATCCAATCTAAAAGTTCCTTTAGTTATAGAAAAGGGTCAGTTAATTGCCCAAGCACCCTTCCATTTCCTGGCCAGGCAAGGTAAGGAAAACAGCTCCTAAACTCAGCTACTTGATCTAGGCTGCAGCAAACAAACAAATGACCTGCCAGCTTTGCTGCCCTCTGGTGTTCCAACGATCTGCTGCAATTCAGATCTGGTAGCTTTACTCAAACAATGATGCCTACGTCTCAAGCATCCCCGATTAATCATTTCCCCCCCCAAATCCTTAGTCCATGCTTGTTTTTCCTGCACCCCAATAACCTGGAGACATGATGCAAGGAACTTCTTTTTGCTTTGCTTTGCTTCGCTTCTGTAACCCATTCCGACAGGCAGGAAGAGATACAGCAGGATTTCTGGCACAGAATCACGAGATGGCAGTCAGAGAGCCTCAGTCTCGCTTGCAATGGAGCCCTTTCCCTTTTGACCTACTTTGAATTAATTGTAATGCATCAGCTGAAGCATTCTCCATGGCTGGAGAGGAGTTTGCTTTTTTCCACCAATTAGGGGTTCCTCCCCCCCTTTCACTTTCTTTGCTCTGCTTCACTTGCTCCACCTTCCAGACTATAAAGTTCCTTAAAATCTGAAGTGTGTATGGTTCCTTGATTGGATTGAACAGCTCTCTAGGAAACTGGAGACACTGGCACTCCACATTTCCTCTCCTTGAAGAACTGCCACGTATCTTCCCCCCAACCCCTACTAGAGAATCTGCAAGAGATTATCTTCAATAAAATGCCTGTGTTCCAACAAAAGGAAAAGGAAATACACACACACACAATTCAGTGGTTAAAGAATAAATAACCTTTAGGCATAATCTTGTGTCTTCCAAAACACCTCTTTCAAAGAATTTGCAGAAAGATGAGGAGGTCTGATAGGAAATTCACATCTTCTCCCAAAATGGACCAAGTAAACTATAACTGTTGGTATTAATGATCCTAACTTTCAGTTATTGATGCAATTCATAGTATTGTGCACTGTTTCATTTGACTTGCTAGGTGAAGTGACGGGCAGATAACTATATAGATAGATAAATATTTCAGAAGTTAAGGATGTTCTATTTATTTTTCTTATTTAAATGATTAATTAAGATGATTAAAAGAAGGCTTTGATATAAGAATAAAAGCTGGAAGACTAGGGAGTCTTTCCATATTTCTGCATCTCAGCAACCTTTTCTTGACTCAGAAGAGGTGATAACCACTTCTATATTACTTCCAAGAGACACAGATGTGTCCATAAAGCTTTTTTTAACGGAGGCCAGCTTTCCTTGAAGCATCACCTTTTGGTAAAGAATAATTCCCAAAGCTTCCCTCTCACCCATTTTTACATTCATCTCAAGCGATTTATTTATTTCCACACCCTTTTATGCCTGTATATCCCACCTTTCCTCTGGAGCTGAAGAGAATCTGAGTGTGTGTGGGGGGGGTCTCCCCTCACTTTATCCCCACAGCAGCCACCCTGAGAGGTAGGTGGGTCAAGTAAGACTTCAACATCACCCAGTGATCGTGGGGAGGAGAGGAGGCTTCAGCCCTGGATTCACCATTAAGCAAATCAGCACCTGCTCGGGGCACCAAGGAATGGGTGGCACCACGGAGCCTGCTCCCCCTTAGCAATCATGCCCTTAACTCTTCCATTGCCACACTCAAGTGTTCAGCACTTACTGAGCCTTCACATCTTGTCCGGTAAGCAATGGAAGGGCCGAGGAGCACCGTAGTTGGGTTGTGCTTAGGGCCTCCATTGGCCTTCATCCAGCCCTGGGGGGCTTCAACCTGGACACCGCTTAGCATCCTTTCTACCCCCTTTTAACCCCGTCCGTACCTGCTTGTGAGGATAAACATTAATATGGCACTTGATGCATTCTTGTCCCATGTTGGCCCAAGAGTTTCCACTCATCCATTTTCTCTTGCACTTGGGGCACTTATATTCGCCAAAGCAGCGTTTTTTCCCTTGGTATGGAGTCAGCCCCTCCCCTTTTGGACGAGCCTAAAAACGAACAGAGAGAGAGAGAGAGAGAGAAAAGCAGTCTTAATTAACGGCCAGAACAGAAAATGAAAGTGCATTCCATGGTCTTTGCTGACTGCATTAAAATAAGGATAACAAGAACAAAAGCAACAGCCCTTCCTACATTATGACAAGGTAAATCACTTTGGAAACTGAAAGGAACAAGACATTTGCTAAATCGTTTGCCTTCTGGAGGCCCATCTTTTGCAGTTCTCCCAAGTTACGAAATGCATCGCCTTGCACTTCTGACTATAGGAAAATAGCTAAGCAATTTCTTTTCAGCTACGCTTTTTGAGAATTGGCTTAGTAAAGATTTTAATAAAGGTTCAGCTGGGACTAATATCTCGGACTGACAGCCGTCAGTATCTCTCTGCCGCCCTCTAGTGGTCATCTGGATTTTATTTTTTACTACCTTTGTTTTTCACCTCTCCCTATGGTCAATTGGCAAACTGAAAGTATGTCTATATTAATAAATATACTGAAAGAATGATCTCTAGTTTAAAAAGAAAAAATATATATAATTCTACTGGTCCTTGGGTGCACTTAAACAAGTTCTTTGGATCCTTACTGAAGCATTTCCCAAAATATATCATGCTATTGTTCCTATATTATTCTGAGTATTCTGTCTTTCACACGTATCTTTACTCATTGATGGATGTATACATTTACTCAAAGGCTACATTCACTGCAATGTCTTCATCTCCCCCCATTTTTAATTCTATTTATTATCTGACTAGTTTCCTTGGTGATATGCCAGCTAAAAGAATAAAACGAGAAGTTAGTACAGTATGATATAGTTCTGTACACAACCTTTTCTTACAGATGTATCTCTATGCAAAGCTTTCCCAAAGAGATCCACTCAAAGTGTCCGTGTGCGTGTGCCTGCGCGTGTGTAAAGATGGAGGCCATAACCATGCAACTGAAGCCCCGTCCTCTTAAGTACACCACAATGCATATCAAAAAAGGTTGTGGCAGCCATCTTGACTTTTTTGCCCCCCCTCTGCAGACCCCCCTGGATCCACTTTTATATACAACGTGTCCCATTTTTTATACAGTTTCTGAGCAGGAAAATATTTCAACATAGATGTTAATGCAAAATTTGAACGCCAAGCTTGTTCATGCCATAACAGATTATATTTTGGCCCGTTCTATCATTTCACTTGAAACGGAATCGAGAATGAATTTTATGACATCCCTACATATAAGCATTGCAGTAATCCAAGTGTACAGTCCTGGCTACAGAATTGCCAGCTTTGTTCTTTATTCACTCTGTTGTTTACCACTGCCAAAGTACGCAGCACTGCTGTACACTTTCTAACAACCTTGTAAGTTGGTTAGAAGGGGTGGGTTCAAGAAAGAGAGGAAGGAAGAGATTTGTCTAAAGTCACCCCATTAGGGGTTGCCAGAGGCCAGATTTGAGCAAAACACACCGAAAAACACATTTGTTCCTTCGTCCGTTTCAAAGTCAGAGTTGAAGCAAAAACTCTCACTCGCCTTCAGAGATTGTTAATGGTGGAATTTCTTAGAAGGGGATTCCAAATATCCCCTTTCAAAAGATGGCTGCTTGCATTTTTCCCATTGCTGGAAAATGCAGCAAAGCTCTTCTTCCTGCAGCTGTAGATATTTCTTGTCCCACTCCTGATTCAGGTTGCTTTGGCTTCCTTGGCAACTTCATCCCCTGGGGAAAATATTTTTGGCTGCCCCAGTTTTCAGCACAGAATATTTGTGCTAAATGCAAATATTAGACCCTTGTGACTCTAACAGTAGTTACTGCCATCCCTTCGCATTCTCCAATAATTTTTTTCCCCTCCTGGGTTGTTCTTTTCTATGTTGTTTTTTTATTATCCCATTTCTGGAAACTGTGAATCATAGCTTTGGTGGTTCTGATGATCCATGTGTGCGATATTGTTATCTCTTGTGGTTACTTAACATTCCCTAAACAGCTCTAAGGTTTCATAATTGTTTGGGGCTCTATGTAAACATAATAAAATTAAAATTCTGGCAGTATAAACATTTCCTTTATTTTATGCAGATGCCCCATTATTGAAGATACGGGCGGGGGGGGCGGCATTCTTTCCTCCGCATCGAGTTCTGGAAGAAGGACATTCATTTCTATCCTAGACCTCTTGCTTTGCCTAGTAAAAGCGATGGTCATTCTCTGGGTATAATAGACCCTGTATTAAACTTCCACTCCAATATACACTTTTAATTACACTTTTTAAAACCCCAGCCCTTCCTTTTAGCAGACATTCTGGATGAAACATTCCTTTAATGCTAAATAACTTTTCTGAGATTCCAGCAGAAGTGAGATGGTTGAATTATAGCTCAGATCATTTGGTCTCTTGGACAATTGTTTATTCAGCTGATTCCTTGACGCTAATGGATGCTAATTTACAGTGACATTTGTTCAAAAAACAAATCCTTTCCAAAATGATCACTCCCATATTTCCCCACATACACCCTTGAACACACTCACTGGAAACTTTATTCCAAAAGTTGTTGGTAACGTATCATGACCCAAACAGGGCAAAGGTCCCTGTGTTATCCATTCATACAGTTCCCTTTCTGTTTAGCCAAGAGAGTTGATAAGGCTTTTAGAAGATATGTAAACTTTTCAAAAGCTGAATGAATTCTTAACTTTAGGAGAACCTGGGAACTTGAACAGTGTTTTGGTATAGAGATCCAAATAGCTTTTGATTGTTCAAAAGAGAAAACAGGTGTCTGGCAAGAAAACCTGAACTTGGCAGGGAGAGCAGATCCCATAGTTGGTGGCAATCATTTGTGCTGTGCTCTGGGTGTGCGAGAACTTTAGAAAAGTACATTCTAGCGTATTTAACCCTGCTGAAGTACACGATGGAAGAAAGTAGTTCCCTTGTTTTAATAAGTTGGAACAATGGACCCCTTATTTCCAATACATTGCGCAACTTTTCCTGCTTCAGAGGGGTCAGGGGGCAAGCGGAAAGCTGGGCTCCTGAAAAGTTAGGGAATGTGTGTCCACATGAATGGTGAGGAAGTAGAAGTTGGCCACAGACAAGGAGGAAGCAACTGTATGAATAGAATTAAAGTCAGGAAGATGTGTGGATAAGCTTGTCTAGCTTTTAGGTCATCAGCACACAGATCTGGAAAAAAGTCTTTAAGCATCTTTGGCTGAATGTTTAACGGAACAGCTGCAAGCAAGAGCCGTTTCCAAGAAAATGTAGATTTCCAACCCAAGAAGTCTCACCAATGCAGGGAAGATCGTGATCAAATGCTTGTCCGGTCAACTACTCAGGTGATTCCTGTCAAATGAGATGATACCAAAGAAACTGAAAGGACATGGGAGACAATGCTGTAAGTGAGAAGCATTAATGGTCCTTAGGCCTTTCCAGCTATATATGTCAATAGAATTCTTGCAACAGTTATGAGGCATATAATGATATGCATACTGAAATAAGAGAATTGAGACTAGGATACTTCCCAATCATTAGCATTGCCATCCCTTGATTCTTCTGAATTCTGAATTAATCTGAGATTAGTGCTGGCTGCTATAGTGATTTTCAGGTTTAGTTGGACATCAGGATACCATGATCAAGAACACAGTTATATGTGAGTCTAGAACTCACAGAAAATGACCAGCCTATCAAGGCTGTAAGCCAATCAGTGCTCACTTATTGGCCAGTAACTACATGCCCCCTCAAATCCATGCCTGAACACACTTCCCTGCCCCTGTTTGTTAGCATCTCCCTGTGTCTCTGTGCTTGCCATGTTGGGAAACTCCCATGGTCTTCAAAACTCCTATGGCTGCCATGCCGCCTTGGGCACCTTTATTTAACCATGCCAGCATGCTGCTACAGCAGCCCTAGCAGATGGGAGAGGAGGCAAACCAAGGTTACTTTCTGGTGCACAGCAACCCACAACCATGCCTGAAGCAGCATTTGCCAGGATTCAACTGACCTTACTCACAACCACAAACTCCCAGTCATGACTGCATGGGATCAAGAGAGGAGCTCATCCTCGGTCTGGGCTATCACCTGGAAGACCTCTGAGAAAAATTACTTTATGGAAGAAGCAAAATTCAAACCAGAGATTTTCTGATATGTAACCGCTTCCAGTGGGGCAGCTCAGTTATTCCATCTAGTTCATGTGTGTGATGAAGTAGACTGCTATCCACAAAACTTTATGAACCAATAAATTTGTTTGCTTTGAAGATTCTGCAAGGCTTTGTCCCCTGCCCCCCACTATCTGTAATTTATCCTCTTGCTCACTATGCTAGAAAAATACTAATTTCAAAACTTGAGGGGAAGTAATTGGCTTTGATTCCATCTCTTCTCTTACCCATTCTCTCTATTCATAGGATAGATGGGATCCCTAAATCCCTTACTCTTTAGTTTCTCCAAGGAAATACTCGTTTTCATTTCTCTCAATTTTTTTTCTTAATATCCATCCCTCCACTAGGTGGTCAGGCTCACATACAAAAACATTTGGAACAGAATGTGCCAATCTGAAGGACAACAGATGCTCAAATTCTGCGGGTACAGCCATGTCTGTTTTGTCTGCCTCCAAGGGAAGGCCCTGACACTGCCAATACAGAGTGATGTCTAAATGACTGCCATTATACCATGTTGTCCAACGTGTCCTTTTCAACATTTGTTTATCCAGTGAGGAAAAGTATAGGAAATTCTGCTTTCATCCCCTGTGCGAAGAATTAGATGAGGGGAGGGGAGTTTAAAATGGAAAATGGAACAATGTTTTGCTGAACATTAGAAAGAAAAAAAAAAAAGATAGTGAATGCCCAAAAAATACATTAAGTGAAAACTGAACAGTAGATTTAAAGGTAGTCCTCATTTAGTGACCACAATTGAGGCCAGCAAGTCAGTCATTAAGTGAAATGGTCACTAAATGAAACCGTGACTGTGTTTACAATCTGATTTCAGCTTTCCTTTGCTTTACGGACCTGAGAAGGTCATAAATATGAGGATTGATCATAAAGTTACTTTTTTAAT